GATTTTTTTTTAAAAATTTAATTCAATTTGTATCGGGGTGGGAGAATGGGCAATTTATCCCGAGCAAGTAGGAAATAAGAACAGTTTTTTTTTTTTTTCGAATTGTTTTAAAACTCAACGATTATAAAGTCGTAAGTAGATATCCGAATCTTTTAATTTCGTTTTTGTAAAAAGAATAATTCGACGGCTTTGCTGTTTTCTTTTTCTTCCAGTCAGGCTGCCGGGTTTCGATTCTAGTCTCATACATACAAACTTGAATGCTAGAATCGTAGATTTTCTTGTGCCCAGCAAAAATGGTAAATGGTGTGTGTGCGTGTGGGGGTGTGTGACCTTTCCCGTAAGTTACAAGAAGCTGTAATAATAATAATAATGATGATGATCTCACTATTATCAATGACGGTCGACTCAACATCAAACCGAAAAAAGACACTAACCAAACAGTTTCTCCAGACTGTGCCAAATGATGGTGATTTGTCTTAAAGGGTGCGAATGTACGGGCCAAACTTTTCCCAGGCTCTCACACGAGTTCTCGAAGTTGTCTTTCTTACAGCGTGGACCTACGTAGTCTTGACTTTCGGTCAGCCTTTCTTTCTACATTTTATTACATGTTTCCTTTCTTTCTCTGCCATTATTACTCTCCTCTCGCCCCACTTTCCCGTCTGTCTGTTGAGTATTATTAGCACAAATAGTGGTTGGAGTAAAAAGCAATTATTAGCAGACGCAATATCAACTCTTATTTGAAATCATCCACATATCAGCCGACTTATTCCATACTAGTTACGGCGAAGGTGTTTATTGTTGTTATTATTATTAATAATAATAATTTACTCGTAACAGAACTGAGATGGTGATGCCGGCTAGGCGGGGGTCATCACAGGAGCAATAACCGTCACATTTTAAAATAAAAGGATGAAAAAAAAAAAAATCATACCCTTCTTCTTGGATAAAACAAATAAGTTAATAAAATAAAATAAATAAATAAATAAGCCTAGTCAGCCGACAACTTTATTCGCAAAAAAAAAAAAAAAAAAAAAGAAAAAAGATGCCGGTAATACAGTGTTGTCGATTTATTGTCAACAGAATATCGGTAAAAAAAAAAAAAAAAAAAAATGAAACTATGAAGAATTTTAGACACTACAAAACTGGTTAAGGACTTTAGACTAGAGAGACACAAAAAATATCGGACAGTTACATTTGATTATTTTTTTTAAATTGATTTTAATAAAAAAAAATATTCCGGCTGCTGATTTATTAAAATGAATGAAAAGAAAAATGACTTTCTCCTTGAATACTAAACAGAGAAATTAAACAACTCGCATTCCTCTATCTTGAGAATTAATTGAATAGTAGAGAAAAATGTAAAAATTGAAGAAATCTCTTTATAAAAACAAACAAACCAAACGATGTTTTAAAAAGGCAGTCAAGGGTGACATGGGACAAACCTTTTCTGCAAAAACGGTCAATATGAAAACTAAAAAAAAAGATAAAAATCAACAGATTTATGCTGAAATATTAAAATGATAATTATAAAAAGGATTGTTTTAATACTGACTTTTTCTCTCCTTTTTTGTTAATCTCCACCGGCTGCCCCTTTTTTTTTTTCGTTCCCCAAAGAAAATCCTCTCTTCACTCTTCTTCTTCAACTACTGGTAAAAAAGAATTTTTTGAACTGAAACTGTCTGTTCGTTCTGCCGTGTGTAAAGTAAGTCCTCATCAATAAATCGTGTCGTACCTTCCTTTTTGTTGTATTTGTGTAAAATTATCCACAACTAATTCTTCTCCCTCGTGTAGCTCAACCATTGACTGAGAATAAATCGGCCAAGTTTAGTTTTTCTAACTCGCCTTTCCCAGATCGATGCTAAGAGCAGAGAGACGGTGGCAGGAGGAAGGGCGACAGATCGATAATTATACTGCCTAGAATCAGAGGAGGGAACGCACGGACGGGAGGAATAGTGGCAGGTTAGAAGTAACAGAAAACAAAGGAGGGGGTGAAGGGCAGGGCGCACACACGTGTGTCGCAAGAAGAGACAAACAAAATAAATAAAAAAAAACAAACAAAAAAAACGTTGTGGACCTCGTCGGCTGAATGGACCTCCACACAACACCTGTGGAAATTTTCATTTAGGGTCAAGTGACAGCAAGTTAACTAAAAATTTAATTCCTTAGTTTTTGAATAAAATATTTAATATTTCTGTGTCACTGTACGGAGTGTACGCCGTAGTGCACGGAAGCGACGCACATGTATGTGTTTTTATTTTATTTTATTTTATTTTTTTTAACTATCTTTTATCGTCAGTTCTAAAAGTAAAAAAAAAAAAATCTTGTTTAGATTAGCTTTGTCGGGAACACTCACAATCGGTGGGACACCTAGTTGAATTAAAACAAAACTACGCTATAGTTGGTTGCAATCAAAGAGTTTTTACTTTTTATTATTTAATTATCGATCTACGGCAGGCGCATTTCTTTCTCTGGTTATTCAAAGAAAGACATATCAGACAAACGTAGACATTTTCTTGTCGATAATTGTTATTTTCTCTGTTCAAATATACATTTTTTTTTTTTACTTTTTTTGCATTTTGCAATGTTTTTTTTTTTTTGTTAATTATGCAAAAAAGAACACCCTATGTCGTGTACGGCGTATATACAGGCTTTTAATTTTTTTTTTTACTCACTTGCACTTTTGGTATATACAAAAAAAAAAAAAAAATGCTACACATGCAGAATTGGATAAAAATAAAAAAATAAAAAAACGTCTAGAATCGGGGCCATAATCCTTATGCGCAAAATGAAAGCAGAAAATTTGCTAGAACTTTTTTTTTTTTTTTAAACTTTTTGGAGGAAAAGTTAATTGCAGAACAAAGAATTTGTGAAGATTGTTGCTGCCATAAGACCTTGGTATCCAAAAAAGTTGTTCTGATAGATATATTTAGAGATGTCTTAAAAGCAGATGTAAGAAAAAAAAATATCTTTCAGAAAAGGTGAACGTTTTTTCACACTGATACAATAGAGAATAGTTGGCTTTATCACTAAAAAATAAAAATCATTTCCGAGAAAAAGGAATAAATACGCATCCACACGAACGGGAATTGAATATTTCGAGAAAAATCAAAAAATGTAATTGAAAAAATATATTAAAAAATATAAAACTATATATAAATTTTAACTCGCCATTTTGTACATGCGAATTACGGTCCCGATTCTAGACTTTTACCAAGAAATGGATTATGTGCACTGTGTGAACTCACTGTATACAATTTTAATTTTTATTATGTTCAGTTAGTGAGAACGAGTGTGTCTTTGTTTTTAACTTTTTATGGCATTATACAACGCATTTATTTCCTATTTGTATACATACTTGTGTGTATAAGGTAGGGGATGTTCTTTGCATCTGTGCAAATTGGGTGGGACTGGGTACACGTATTTTCTTGTTATATGCGGGTGTGTGGATGCTTTCATTCATAAATCTATTTTTACTATAAACCAACTGCCTATCAGCATTCATTCGATTGCCTCACGTTTGTTGCCAGTGTGTACCCCGACATATCATTCGGAAGAAAAAAAATACTTGTCTGGTTGACGATTGGGATCTTTGTTTGAAGTCTTTATTCTCCCCACCCAACTTCTGTTTGCTGTTTTACTGATTCGTAGGCTGCTTCAAGTGTACAGTTTGTTTTTTTCTCTTCTCTCTGTCCCTCTCTGTCTCTCTTTCTCTCTGTGTGCGCGTCAGGGTGGTAGATATTTCGTCCGTATCAAACGTGTAGTCGAGGTGTGAAAGCTTTTCGGATTGAATGAGATGCTAAATCAGCAAATAATGACCAATTAATGATCAAGAGATTACATAGAATAACAACAAAAAGAAAAGTATTTCTATACAAAACTTGCAGATTACTTCAACATTATAGCCAAGTAGCCAAGAATAAACAAACAAAACACGACAATGAAGTTACCAGTTGAGTTAAACTGCACAACACAAGGACAAAACGACGTTGTGTTTGAACTCCCCTGGGGAAGGCAGATGGAAATGTGGCATAATTGATCCTGGACTGGAATCTCGCTAAAAAGAAGGAGTATTGTTTTATTTGGGATATGGATGTGCAACTACACAGAACAAGTGAAAATAGCAAGAGTATAATTTTCCATTCACGCTTGACATGATTAAGTGTGTGTGTGTGTGTGTGCATCATTTTTCGTAAGTGTGAGTAACTGAAAGTGAAATTTATCTATCTATCTATCTCAATCTGTTCATATCTATCTAAAAAAATTTTAAGATTGCTTGAAACTGAAAATGAAAAAATGATGGTGGGGACACACATGCACACGTGTATGTGTGTGTGTGTATGTGCATCATTTTTCGTAAGTTTGTGTAACTTCTATCATTCTGCTCATTATCTATCTATCTATCTATCTCAATCTACTTATATCTATCTTAAACATATCAATCGATGTATTTATCTCAAACTGTTCATATCTATCTATCTAAAATTTTTTAAGATTGCTTGAAACTGAAGATGAAAAATGATGGTGGGGACACACATGCACACGTGTATGTGTGTGTGTGTGTATCATAGGGTTTAAAAATATTGTAATACTACAAGTATCAGAGATATGAAGGAGGACTTGTTTGGTTGTTTTTTTTTTTTTTTGGCTTTTCTTTGCAGAGAAAATGTGTCTAATATTTGTCGTTTGTGTTTTCTTGGGACCACAGCTTTGTGCATGAATGTATAAATGTGTCAAACAAGACATGGCAACTGATACAGCTGTAAAAGTCTTACAAAGATTTCTTTCTTTGTGTGCGTGCGTGTGTGTGCGTGTGTGTGTGTGCGTGTGTGTGTGTGTGTGTGTGTGTGTGTGTGCGTGTGTGTGTGTGTGTGTGTGTGTGCGTGTGTGTGTGTGCGTGTGTGTGTGTGCGCGTGTGTGTGCATGCTGCTAATGCTGTTGGGGGAAAAGAGAGGTGAGAACACTGAAATAGAGACAAGAGAAAAAAGGTTGTGATTGAATCATTATGAATTAGCCAATAATAGAGAAAAGAAACAGATAGGAACAGATTCAAATAGATAGACTGAGATAAAGAGATAGATATGGAGAGACTGAGATAGATAGATAGATAGATAGATATGAAGAGACCGAGATAGATAGATAGATATGAAGAGACCTAGATAGATAGATAGATATGAAGAGACCGAGATAGATAGATAGATAGATAGATATGAAGAGACTGAGATAGATAGATAGATGGATATGAAGAAACTTAGATAAATATGAAGAAACTTAGATAGATAGATGAAGAGACCGAGATAGATAGATAGATATGAAGAGACCGAGATAGATAGATGGATAGATAGATGGATATGAAGAGACTGAGAGAGATAGATAGATATGAAGAAACTTAGATAAATATGAAGAAACTTAGATAGATAGATATGGAGAGACTGAGAGAGATAGATAGATAGATGGATATGAAGAGACCAAGATAGATAGATAGATAGATAGATAGAGATATGAAGAGATAGATAGATGAGATAGATAGATAGATGGATATGAAGAAACTGAGATAGATAGATAGATGGATATGAAGAAACTTAGATAAAGATGAAGAAAGAGATAGAGATGAAGAGACCCGAGATAGATAGATGGATATGAAGATGGATATGAAGATAGATAGATGGATAGATAGAAATGGATAAATGAAGAAGAAACTTAGATAGAGATAGATAGATAGATAGATAGATATGAAGTGACTGAGATAGATAAATAGATAGACAAGATTAGACAGAGAAAAATAGAGATAGTGAGATAGAGCTAAACATAAGATAAATAAGACAAAATTGCGATAGATAAATAGATATTGAAATAAATGTAGGTTATTAATATCTGGATATTAATGAAAAAACAAGATACCTGGACGGATAACGATAGACAAACAGGTAAAAATTAGATACATAAGCTGTGAGTGAAAAGTGAAAAATTTGTGGATGAGTCGCATTGGGATGACTTTTTCTAAAAAGTCGTTGCCTGAATGAGTGAGTAAATCAGGGAGAGAAATGCGAAAGAGATGGGAGGTGGTGCTGGTCGTAAGAAGATGCCATGTCATCTCGAGTGAAAGATCGGTGTGTGAATGTGAGTGAAATAGAGAAACCAAATTCGATCTTGTAATGGCAGGTAGGTAAATAAAAATACTAGCTATCGTAACTCTCTCTCTCTCTCTCTCTCTACAAATGTCAAGGCCTAAGAACAATGTGTAAGGAGTTTCGCAAAAGAGAAAGATTTGAGAACAGATACAAATAAAAGACCTGATGAGAAAATAATGATTAGAATTAGTAATTGTTTGCTGTGAGGTGAAGTGACAAGCTTTTTAAACAGTTTGGAAGGCTGAAAAGAGAGAGAGAGAGTTATGAACTTAGATAAATAGGGAAATAAATATGAAGAGAATAAGGTAGGATAGATTGAATGAGTGGGATAGAAATAGATTTCTATGAAGATATTACAGATTTTACAAGTATACTAACAAACATGATGATAAGAACACCACACCAATCTGACAAAGGAGTGAACCTGCTTACGTTGAAAAAACAGCTTTTGGAATCCTGGCTATGGAACTGAAACAAGTGGTGAAGAATACACGACTGTTTCAGTTATGAAGCACATTCTTACATAATTGAATGAAAGGATATAGATCGACTTAGATAGATAGATATATAGGAACTGATTGAGATAGATACATAGATAGCTAGGGACAAATTGAGATAGATAGATACATAGATAGCTAGGGACAAATTGAGATAGATAGATAGATAGATAGATAGATAGGGACAGATTGAGATATATAAATAGGAACAGAGTTAGATAGATAGAAATAGAGTAAAATAGATTAACAGAGAAGTGAAATCAACAGCACATATATGAATAGTTTAGGCTGAAATTTACTTACATATGATTGATGTGCACTTATTAACAATGATTTGACTCGGATTACCAAAAAAGGCCAATAATGATTCATTGATATAAATAAATTGATTGAAAAATAGAAATATTGATCAATAAATAATTGACATTGAAATGAAAGCATGAATGAGGTAAAATCTAGATGGAAAGATGTATAAGCATTTTTGAAATGAAATAAATTGTAATTTGTGAATATACAGAAGGAATTGTGTCTTCATTCTCACTTGTTGCCACATACTTGTAGTCTTGTACAAGGCTAAACTTACTTAGGTGTGTTGTTATAAAGAAATAATAAGCTAACTTGTAAACCACCATGACTAATATTTATGGTTCTCTCTCTTCTTGTCCTTGTAACGGCATTCACCCGAGATGGGTTGAGCTGGCTCCAATATTGGAGTCTCATGGGAATTTGGAATTCACAAGCGGTCCCCAACCCGCATGTATAGCACATGAGATTTGATTATAGTGGTGAAGGTTTCATGCAGGACTAGCCACATTTTTTGAAGGGCTGATTACAGAGACCTGGTGCACTATGTGCCACAAGGTCCCCAAATGACCCTCTGCAGGTTTTGAATTCAGAGTTGTCCTTCTCCTAGACCAGTTGCCATCCAAGGCTATAGAACCCACTCTGCCCTGCTATTTACCCATAGCTGGAGGGAGAAGAAGAGGATTCACACCTTTCCCAAGGGTATTAGCACGTAAGTGAATGTAATGGATTCGACTGGAATTCGAACTCGGTTCTTTGATTCCTCAATCCAAGCCGCTATCCATTACTCCACCGTGCCTCCACTGTTACTCCACTAATATTTATGGTCCTTAATAAGTACTCCATTTTTGTAGTCTTAAACCAGACTAAGATAAAAATATGAGAATAGAGAAATAAGAAAGACAGAAAATGCATGTTATGTACTTAAAATTTAAAGATTAAAGATCTGTGCTATTATTTTTCTTGTATTTGTGACTCTCTTGCTTTTCTAACTAGGATCAGAGTGTAGTATCTGTCAGAGCTGTGGCTCTTCTGAGCTGGAATCACTTACAGTTTCTGACGAAGAAACCAACATTAAGCAGGAAGGAATTGGAATAAGTGAAGAAAAGAGGAAGGGAAAAAGAAGTCACAGAGTATGAAGCATACAATTGATTGATTGATTCGTTTAACGGTATATCAACTCCTTCATGAGTCATGTTATATAGTACCTATGGAATATAATGTCCCAATCCTCATAAATACAGTGGAATATACTGTCTGGTGGGGATTCACCACTAGTTTACCACTAGCAGTGGATTACTTATTACACACAGCTGGCAAATCTTCTATGTTATTAATGTTATAAAGATTACCATTCCATTTTCAACCTTCATATTAGTTATTCTTATTCAGTAACCTTTTCTAGGTTACAACAGGTTATCTAATGCTGAAAAATATTATATATGTTATTTTGCTTTCACAGTTGAATACATGGTAGATGATACTCAGCTTTTACGCTTATAGATGTTTGTGTAGAGATAATTACTAGAGGCGGTGATATGTGTGTTTTTTGTTGAAGTTATATTTTGGAATACTGTTTGATTTCTTTAAGATATTGTAGGATATTATATAGATTAATGTCATGAAAGAATTCTTTTATGGCAGTTGTTTGGCAGTATTTTAAGTGAAGTCACTCCAATTTGTTAGTATGTATTTTATTGTGAATAGTTCTTGGCATGCCATATAGACTGGAGGTGGTTCTTGTTTTTGAATATAAGAGTGTGTTATCATGATGTGTTTCATATGAAGACTCAATATTATTACTTCATTTGCTTTGTTTTTAGTTTTTGATGTCATGCTTCTATAGTAAGATTGATGTTTAATTTATACAGAAATGTATTGCTGATAATTATTTTATAAAAATGTATTTCTATACTTGTAGTGTTGTATTGTTGGTCATTTTATTATAAAAATGTATTGTTGTTCATGTTTTTTATAAAAATATATTTTTCTACTTTCCTAGTATTTTTTATTTTTTTTAAATTTTTTTTTTAATTAAACAGTATTTTTTATTCAACTGCATTTACTGGCTTGAATATTGGAGAAATCTTGTCAGAAAAATATGCATCCTCCAGTAGGATTCAAACTGGCATCCCCTATGGAAAACTGTCATTGGATCTGATGTGCCTGACAGTTCAGCCATGTAGGAATTCAGGTCAAACAAATGAAAAAAAAACAAAAAAAAACACAGCTTCTACTTGAATATGAGTATCCATCAAAAATAACGTTTAAACAGAATAAATTAAAAATAACGCTATGTTGGATTTAATCCATTTCCTAAAAATAAATTGTTTTTCTTTATATTAAGTGATGTAATGGAATAACCTGTCACCCCCATGAGTGACTACACTATAGGTAGTAACTACCTATAGGTATCTGTAAGACAACGAACTACAGAGTCTAGCTGGAATCTCTTCCAGAACCCACGTTAAACTCGTAGTGGAGTAGCTAAATATACTAGCTGGTATCTGTTGAGTATGACTCAGGCTTACACGAGAACTACCGACCTTCCAGTAGTAGCACTCACTACTGGATTGACTTCCGACGACCTTGTGCATAACTGTTACCTTTATTCTTATTGTACTGTTTTTATAATAAACTTTTACTTATTTTATCCATCGTGTTTTTCAAGTATATATTCCTATTAGTACGGAATATAACATTAAGATACAATACAGAGCCGATATGGATGTTTCAAGAATCAGTAGAGAGGGTGTGTTCAAAAGGCACTATTTGGGCTTCTTTGACTGGAAGTCCTACGTGGCTGAGCAGTCAGGCACATCATAAATATGTCTAAAAATGAACACTGAGGTCAATCCCAAGCAATGACAGTCTGTTTCAAGATTTAGTTCAAGCATGAAACAGACTGTTGCTGCTTAGTTCTGACCTAAGACTCTGCTTTTATATTTATATTTACATATACTCTGTATTGAGAACTTTTACTCATAAGTATAGCATACTTTAAAACTATATTTTTTATCACACACACACACACATATATATATATATATATATATATATATACATATATATATATATATAGAGGCACGAGACAATGGATAATAGTTGTATTGGAAGGGATAAGGGTGAGAATAGGAAGATACAGGCAAGGGTTGAGAGAAGAGCAGAAGCATGTGATAATGGATAACAGCTGTATTGGAAGGGATAAAGTAGAGAATAGGAAGATACAGATAAGAGTGAGTGAAAGTAGGTTTGTCAAGAATTATAGTTTTTATTTAATACTGCAAATATTTATTTCTCAGTATAATATCCTTTCTTGTCTGCACTTAACTCAGTAGAGAATATTAATGAGATAGATTGAACATTATATTGTGAAAATTTCAGTTCAGAATTCAGCTAATAATTCTGTGTCAGGCTACAGACTTATTGATCCACCCTGATAAATATGCATCAGTTGAATTGATAATAACAACAAAAAATGTTTTAAAATTTATTCTGAGGATACAATACATAAACAGAGTGGGGAAAATATATCCAGAATTCAATAGAAATAATTAGATCAACTTACAAAAAGCTACACTGATATTTCAATGATAAATAACAGTGAGTTGGACAGAAATTTTGTATTGGTAAATTTTCAGGCTAAATGGAACTTAAAAAAGTTGAGGAAAAAGTGAGAAAGAGAGAGATAGAGAGAGAATGTTCTCTAGAGCATAAGTTGTGTAAAGGGCCCCACCTAACAAAGACTTGGCTGCTGTTGTCATCTGTTGTGTAATAATAGCTAACAATGGCTGCCAGCAGTTCTGGATTGAACTGAGAGAAATGACCCACTGGTGTGAATGAAGTCACCAGGCCTTTATAGGAAGAAAACAAATTTCTTATGTGGTACATTTCTGTTTTAATATAATTTTAAAACCATGCTTCCTTCTAATTAAACCATTGTTGGATGTCTGGTTTATATCTTAAAATGGAGATGAGAATGAAGAGAAAACATAGCCAAACTTGTTGCCTGATTGAAGAAGAACATTTTTTAACAATTTCAAACTAAAGCAATTTGAGTAAATTGGCTGAAATGAGAACTATTGCATGCTTATTCCTTCTTTCCTTTCTTCTTTCCTTCCAGGCATTTTTGCACACATTTTAGACAAAAGAGCGACAGGGAGCTGTATAAAAATTAAATATTGCAAAAAATAAAAAGATTTAATTAAATTATAATAATTTATAAATTCCTATTAAATTAAAAATATCGGCAATAGAATTTGTCAACAAATTCTAAAAGAGTTGAAATCCTGAATCTTCAACAAAAAGTCAGAGATATAAATTTTCAAAGAATTTCTTTTGAATCTTGATCAGCTGCATTTATAAAAATTAAATCGGAAACTGTTGATACCACAATATAAAGATTTCCAAAAAAAACACAATCACCTCAAGATAAACATATTGATCATTAGCAAATCAGTTTAAAATGCTCATATGACTATTAGGGAAAAGTAATTAAAAAATATAGAAGCTAAAGTTTCTGGTTGAATAATATCTGTATAGATACAGTATTTACATTAGTCGGACTACTGTCCTCATCTTTGTCGCCATATTTGTCACAACGTTTCGGCCGTTGTACGCTCCGGCCTTCTTCAGGTGGTTGGAATTTCAAACTGAACCCTTTATTTCAATCACTGGGGTAGACTGTTCTAGTTCCACATGCCATGTTTGATGGATGTCAGTTATCAGTTATCGCCTGCTAATTTTCCCTCTGAAAGTTCTCCACTGCCTTAACCAGGTATTGAACTCACCTTCTTTGGGTCTGTCACTGGATCTAACCAACGCTTTTACCCACTGTGCCATGTGTCCTTGAGGACATCTGGGTATATTCCTTTCCGCAGCTGCACGGGATAGCGTACACACAGTCTTTAGTCATGTTCCACTCTGTGGGGGATCTCACTCGTGAGAGATACCTGCGAAGTGTTGTCATGTTTTTGAAGGTTGTCCTGATGTTATATGGACCGCAGATCCTTTGTATTTATTTGAATATAAAGGAGAGACAGGCCGCCCCCTCAAGGTAAGGCTTCAAGAACACCAGAAAGCTGTAACGCGGGGGGAAGTAGAAAAATCAGGCGTGGCTGACCACATATGGAGAGAAAAGGGAGATCACCGCCCCCTGTGGGATCATGTTGAGATCATAGATAGGAACACCATTGGAAAATTCGTAAACTTAAGGAATCAGCACATATGCTAGGCCACAAAAATCTCCTGAGCCGACCAAGCATAGAAATAAATACAATATGGGAACCAGTAATAAGGAGTGCCAGAGAAAAGCAATGATAACAAAGTT